GCCACTTTATTTCCCCTTTTTTGATCCCTTCCCTCCCCCACCAGCGGATTGCGAGACTGATGGCTACCTCAGCTCCTCTGGCTTCCTGGATGCCTCAGACCCTGTCCTTCAGCCCCCTGGGGGGGTGCCATGCAGTCCTGCTGAGTCCCATCTCTGCCTGCCCTCGGTGAGAGGGGGTCACATGGGGGCTCCCAGCCATTCCAAGTCTATGACCTTTCTCCCTCCTTGTAAAACCCAACCCCATGACCTGGCCCCATGTCGCTGAAAACCCACCACTCTTGTCCTCATCTTCCCCACTTCCATCTCTCTAGAACCCAGCATCCTTGACACCATTTCCCTGGACCCCAACAATTATCTTCCTCTTACCTCATGACCCTTTAACCTGTTTCAGGCTTTTGCTGTATCCATTCCACGTTCTGGCCTTGACAGTGACTTTGCTGCTGGGGACAGGTATGTCCTGGTGTGAGCTGGGGAGCTATGGATGGAGTTCTGGGCCCCAGTGTCTGCTCTGACTCTACGCCTTTCTCATTTCTCTTCCAGCTATGCCTCTGATGCAGCATCAGGCCTCAGTGACATGGGGGAAGGGATGGGACGGATGAGGATACTTCCAGGGAGAAATATTCGGCGCAGACCCCGATCCCGGCTGCGTGTCACAAGTGTAAGGAAGGGGCACATGAGATGAGGGAGAGCCTAGAAGGTCCAGGAGGGAATTGTTGGGGCTAAGAGAGGTCAACTAGAAAGGGAAGGAGCATTGTGTGATCTGAGTAGCTAAGAGGCAGCCATCTAGTTTCTGAAACAGAATTTGGGGATGGAGTCTGCTTCTCTCCAGTTCCAGTTGGTCACTGTCACTGGCTGGAGTGGGGTGGGAACCTGAGACGAGGACACAGGACTTGACCTCCTCCCCTCTGCTGACTTTGAATCTGAAGGTCTCAGACCAGAATGACAGAGTGGTGGAGTGCCAGCTACAGACACACAACAGCAAGATGGTGACCTTCCGATTTGACCTGGATGGGGACAGCCCAGAGGAGATCGCAGCCGCCATGGTGAGGGGGGCATGCAGCTGAGGACAGTGTTTCGGTCCAGAATGAGAGTCCCCCTGCTGATGTCCCCTGGTGATGAAATCCCCTAAGCCAGACAGCAGGGTTTTTTGAATCACTGGTTGGCTCTCAGCACAGTGGCATTGAAGAAGCCCTGCTCTTTTTCTTGGGGAGATTTCTTTTTATCCAGGAAGGTTTGGCTCCCCAGATGGCAATTTGAGACTAACACAGATATGGTATATACAAGTGCTGTGTGTGAAGTACATGTTAGACATACACTACTGTGTCTCTAAGAAAAGGATGGGTTGGAGGCAGATGGGTAAGAAAGGCAGTGGAGAGGGCATATCTTGCTGGAGGCACAGCATAAGCAAAGGCATGAGAAGTAATATGGGGCTGGGAGGGCTTCATGAGGAGACCAATGTCATTGGAAGCAAGTGTTCCTGTAGGAGAATCATAGGAAACAAGGCTGGGCAGGTAGAGTGAACCCAGAATATTATAGAACATTTTGAGAGTCAGGCCAAGTGTAACGTGGTGAGAATACATTTTAAGAAGACCATTCTGTCATGTGATGTGGGAGGAAGTAGGGATAGGGAATACAACTGGGAGGTAGATGCAAGAAACCAGATATGGACCAAGGAGAGAATAGACTGTTGTGGGAGGAAAAGAAGGAGTGAATCTGAGAGTTGTTTCAGGAAAATTGCTCTGTAATCCAACAAGCTATTGACATAGTACCATGCACATAGTAGATGCTCAGTAAATATTTGCTGAGTTGATATAATGGGGAATGAGGGAGAGGGGATGTCAAGGGCAACTTACAACTTGGAGGAACTAGGCTAATGGGAGTGGGCCACCAAAGGAGAGAGGAAGTTGGAAATGAAAGTAGGTTTGTTTAGGGGTCATGATGAGCTTCAGTGATAAGGGACAGCCAAGATCACACTTTCCTGGAAGTGGGAAGTGGTTCAGGCCTGGCTGAGGGGTTGATTTAAGAGTTGTTAGCACACAGATTGGGCCCACAAAGCCAGAGGTTAGAGGGCCTGAGAGTGCAGCTCAGTGGATATCCCCTGTGCCAGAGTGAGGTGGGGGGAGTAGGTCATCAAGAGACACAGAGATGGAGCCAGAAAGGTAGGAGGAGCCCTGAAATACATTAGTGAAAACTGAGTGAGGAGTTTCAAGGCGGTAACATAGGGTGAAGCCTGGGGCAAGAGTACACTGGCTTTTCTTAGGAGAAGGTCTTCTGTAAAAGTTTCTGTAAAAGTGGAGTGGGGGTGGTGGTGGCAGCCTCTGGGCTAAAGGAGGGAAAAGAATGGGAGAGACATCAGGCATCAGGAACTCTGTCCTCGCATGCAGGACACAGACAAAAATGTCACCTGGCACACAAGCCTTGTCACCTTCCATCAAGCCACTTAACCCTTCTAGAATTTCCCATCAGGCACACTGTTTCCTGAATCGTCCTCTGAGGAGGCTGGGTGCCTTTCTGTCTCTGCCTCCATCTGCTCAGGGGTTTCTCACTCCGAGAGCCTTCTCTACTGGGCTTTCAAGGCCACTCAGATCCCACACAGCCCGAGTGACCCCACCTCTGATCCTACTTTCCCTCTTCTCTCTCCTTACCAGTCTACCCGCCACTACTCTGCAGCACAGTTCTCCTGGGGCTTAGATCTGTCTTGTAGCTTTTTGCCCCAAAATCTTTAATGGCTACCTGTGATTATGGTTGTCGTTAGGTGCCAACGAGTCAGTTCTGACTCATAGCGACCCTGTGTACAATATGAAACCCTGCCTGGTCCTATGTCATCCTCACAGTTGTTGCTATGCTTAAGCCCATTGTTGCAGCCACTGTCTGTCCATCTCATTGAAGGTCTTCCTCTTTTTCACTGACCCTCTACTTTACTAAGCATGATATCCTTCTCCAGGGTATGGTCCTTCCTGATCATATGACTATCGTTGCATCTAAGGAGCATTCTGGCTGAACTTCTTCCAAGACAGATTTGTTTGTTTTTCTGGCAGTCCATGGTATATTCAGTATTCTTCACCCACACTGTAATTCAAATGAAATTGATTCTTCTGTCTTCTTTATCCATTGTCCAGCTTTCACATGCATATGAGGCGATTGAAAATAGCTATGGCTTGCACCAGGAGCACCTTAGTCTTCACAGTAACATCTTATCTTTTTAACACTTAAGAATTATGGAGTACGATGCATGTTCACAGCACTCTAAGTTGTTACGTGACTGTGCCATGCCCTTTCACATTTCAAAACTACTGCTCATCCTCTTCCCTCTGCCTAGACTGCCCTTCTCTTCCTGATAAACCGTGTGGAATAGAGGAAAGGGTGGGCTTTCACGTAGGACCTGAGTTCAAATTCCAGCTCTGTTATTTACTAACTCAGTGAACTCGGGCAAATTTCTTTTTAAACTTTTTTTTTTCAATTTTTATTGTGATTTGGGTGACAGTTTACAGAGCAAATTCACTTCCCATACAGCAGTTCATACGTAATTTTTTTTTCATGACATTGACTGCAATTCCTCACAGTGTAACCAGCTTTCTTCCCATTTCTTCCCTGTGTTCTTCTTTCCTATGAATTCCTACCCGGAGCTATCTCCCTGTGCAAATACTGCCCTTCTGTTCTCCCATGATTGATTGTTCTAAGGAGTATATCTACCTGATGTAAATGTTCACCCTATATACCTGTCTATTGTTTGGCTGGAAGCCATGTCTTTTTAAACTTTTTATTGTGACTTGAGTGAAAGTTTATTGAGCAAATTTGTTTTCCATTCAACAATTCATACACATTTTGTTTCATGACATTGACTACAATCCTCAGAATGTAACAGCGCTCTTCCCATTTCCTCCCTGCGTTTCCTGTTTTCATTTGTCCTGCTTTATCCGTGGGCAAAAGCTGCTCTTTTCACCTTGTGTGGCCGGTTGTTCTAAGGAGTGCATACTTATCTAGTGTTATTGTTCACTTTATAAGCCTGTCTGTTGCTTGGCTGAAAGTTGAGACACTGGGGTGAGTTTAGTTCCAGGCTTGAAGGATGACTAAGGACCACAGTCTTGAGGGTTCCACTAGATCCTATCAGACCAGTAAGTCTGGTCTTTTTTATGACTTTGAATTTCATTCTTCGTTTGTCCTCCATTCTGTTTAGAGCATTCTATTATGACCCCTTTCAGAGCTGTTGGCAGTGCTAGCTAGGCATCATCTAATTCTTTTGCTCTCAGGCTCAAGAAGACGGCAGTTCACATGGTCCCTTTGTCCTTTGGAGTCTTTTGTTTCCATGCATCTTTGATTTTCTTCATTCTTCTTTGCTCCAGATGGGGATAAGTCAGTAGTTGCACCTTAGATGGCAGGTCACAAGCTTTTAAGACTCCAGCCACTATTCGTCAAAGTAGGATGTAGAACATTATCTTTTGGGCAAGTTTCTTAACCCCTCTGAATCTCAGTTGCTCATCAGTAAAAATACCGATGATAATACTTTTCTAGATGGCCTGAGGATTAAATGAGATTGTATATGAGAAGAGTCCACACATGGTACATCCTCAACAAAGAGTGGCTTTTCTTACTTTCTTTCAAACTCAGCTCCAAGGACTTCCTTTGGGATCAGGGTGGTATGACTTGTTTCCTCTTTGGAATAGCATTTTTATGTATACCTCACTCATAAAAACTTATTTATCGTGGGCTGACTTGTGGTATGTTAAGTTATGTATTATTTGCCTTCTGCAGTAGATACAGGGCTTCCAAGGGCCATGACCTGTTTCATACTTCTTTGTATTCCACACAGTAGTACAATGCCTGGAACATAGTAGGTACTCAGTAAGTGTTTGTGGAATTGAACGTAACGTTTGCCACTGATTGTCTTGTTTTTACTTAACTGTGCAGGTGGGCCTGTGTTATATACTTTGTAAGCGGGAATTGTGTCCAAAAGCATTTGTGGCAACAATGGTGTAATGGAAAGAACTCAGATTGGCTTTAGACGGACTAAGAGACCTGAGTTCAAATCCTATGACCTTGGGCAGATTGAATTTACCTCCACGAGTAATTATCTTAGTCTAAAATGAGTATTTTAAAACCAAACCCAGAAAGTGGTTATTGGTGTTAAATGTGATAATTTATGTAAAGTGTCTGCAACGTACATGCTTCCTATGAACGTTAGTGCCTGTCTTCTAAGCTGTATTTCTCCTTACACCACACAGTGCCTAACATACAGTAGGTACTTAACAGGTATTTCTTTTAGGTTGGTGGTGACAGAAGCAGTGGTGTGAAGGGTTGGTTTTTAAAGATCAAACTTGGGGAAGGGCTGAGTGGTATAATGAGGCCTTCCTCCCATCCTGTTTATCTTCACCAGGTGTATAATGAGTTCATTCTACCCTCTGAGCAAGACGGATTCCTGAGCCGCATTCGGGAGATTATCCAGCGAGTGGAGACCCTGTTGAGGAGAGATACTGGCCCTGTGGATACTGTCCAGGACACCCTTGGCCCCCAGGTCAGACCTCTCTAGGCACCTCCAGAAGTAATGGACTCTGCTCCAGAGTTCCCTACTCTCTGCCCTTCACAGCACCCCCAGATCTAGCTCTTCTTCACCTCTGGGACCCTAAAACTGCAGTTCTTGAGCTTTTTAGGGTCATGGACCCCATTTGAGAATCTGATGACAGTCATGAAGCCTTGTTCTAGAAAAATGTGTTCAATACATGCTTTTAACTCTTTATTTGGAGATAATTTCAGATTTACAGAAAAGTTGCAAAAATTACACAAAGAACTCCTAGATACATTTTGCCCAGATTCACCAATTGTTAATATTTTGCCACATTATTTGCATCTTTTTCTTCCTTCTCTCTATATGGATGTGTATGTATTTTTTTTTTTTTCTGAACCATTTGTAAGTTGCACACAGTATATCCCTTTACCTGTAAATATTTCAGTACATAGTTGTGTAAATACCCTGAAGCACCTCGATGGACTCCTAGATGTTCACGGGTCCTAGCTTAAGAACCCCAGCCAGGACCAAAACTACGTGATGCCCAGCTACCACTGTCAACTACTCAGAAAGGGATCAGTGCAGGAGATCCTGGATAAAGTAGGAGAACAATGTGGAACAAAACTCAAAATCATTAAAAAAAAAAAAAAAAAAGGACTAGGCTTACTGTTCTGATAGAGCCTGGTGAGACCCATGAGACTATGGCCCCTAGTTACCCTTCAGGTCTGGAACTGAACTCACTCCTGTGGCTTCCAGCCAAACAACAGACAGACACTTGGGGTGAATATTTACATCAGGTAGATAAGCTCCTTAGAGTGATCAGTCCTAGGAGAACAGAATGGCAGTGTTTGTACAAGGAGACAGCTTGGGGAGGCAGGAATGCATAGGAAAGAAGGACACAGGGAAGAGGTGACTACAGGGAGGAAGTGGGAAGAGCTGTTACATTGTAGGGAATTGCAGTCTGTGTCATGAAACAAAATGTATATGAACTGCTGTATGGAAAATGAATTTGCTTGTAAACTCTCACCCATATCACACTCACTCACACACACACACACACACACACACAGCCAGAAACCTCCCATCTAAGACTTGCTTTTCCCCATTGTGACTGTGAGCCATTTCTCTCCCTCAGGAGGAGCCAGCACCATTGCCTGACCTTCCAGGCCCCCATCCAGCCCCTTCCAGTGGTACGTACTGAGTTCTGCTCATGCTCATCCCAATCCTCAGGGTTTTCTCCTGGGTTTGCCTGGGAAGGGTGTAAGGAATGGGGGTCTGGAATTTCAACACGCCCCTCCTCTCCAACAGAGCCCCAGAGCAGCACCTCCCCATCTTCTCCTGGAACCCCTTTGTCTCCTGGAACTCCATTTTCCCCTGGAACTCCCCTTTTCCCAGGTCCCATCTTCCCTATCACTTCTACCCCATGTTATCCCAGCCCCTCCCTGTTTCCCCTCATTTCTCCCCAGGGCTCCTCCCATCCCCCTCCACACACCCCCAGCTCTCCACGTCCCCTCTCCCCTAGTGTACCCCAGTTCCCAATCCCAACCTCTCCGCTTCTCCCGAGCTCTCTGCCTCTCGGTTCTCCACCCACATTCTCTCCCTCTTGTTCCCAGGTCACTCAAAATCCCACTTCCTTTCCTTTGAGTCCCTCCCCTCCTCCCATGCCCTCCACCACAGCAGCCCCTCTCCTCTCTCTGGCTAGTGCCTTCTCGTTAGCTGTGATGACCATGGCCCAGTCCCTGCTGTCCCCCTCACCCGGGCTCCTTTCCCAGTCTCCTCCAGCCCCTCCTGACCCCCTGCCCAGCTTGCCCACTCCTCCTTCCCTTGCTCATTCTGGCCAGGAGAGTCCTTCGCCCCTCACAGCTGAGATGGAGAGTGAGGTGAGTAGGAAACCAAGAGGGATGATTAGGGAGGCTCCATTCTGGCCATTTCTCTCTTCATGGACTCCTACCTTGTAGGCCACCCCAAATCCTGCTCGGCCATTCCTGGGTGAAGCCAGACTGGCACCCATCTCTGAAGGTGAGGCTTCTGACCACAGACTTTGCGCTGTCCATCATCCCCACCCCGTTTTATATCCTGATTCTTTCCTCCATGCCTCCCCATGTCTCTCTCCAGAGGGAAAGCCCCAGCTTGTTGGGCGTTTCCAAGTGACTTCATCCAAGGAACCAGCTGAGCCTCTTCCCCTGCAGTCATCATCCCCAACTCTCTGTGGTTCTCTGAAGCCTCCAACCCCTCAGCTGGCCTCAGAGAGCTCAGATACAGAGGACAACACCGGAGGCGTGCCAGAGAACAGGGAGGCTCTGGCGGAGAGCGACCAAGCTACTGAGGGGCTGGGGGCTGGAGTTGAGGAGGAAGGGGACGATGGGAAGAAGCCCCAAGGAGGGAGCAGCCCCCCATCCCTGAGCCATCCCAGCCCAGTGTGGATGAACTACTCCTACAGCAGCCTGTGTCTGAGCAGTGAGGACTCAGAGAGCAGTGGTGAGGATGAGGAGTTCTGGGCTGAGCTGCAGAGTCTTCGTCAGAAGTGAGTCCAGGGGAGGCTGGAGCAAGAGGCAGACTCGGGAGAACAAAATGGGTGGCTGGCCTTCTCATGGCCCTGACCATTCTCAGGCACCTGTCAGAAGTGGAGGCTCTACAGACGCTGCAGAAAAAGGAAATTGAGGACTTGTACAGTCGGCTTGGGAAGCAGCCCCCACCGGGCATCGTAGCCCCAGCTGCCATGCTGTCCAGCCGCCAGCGGCGCCTCTCCAAGGGCAGCTTTCCCACTTCCCGCCGCAACAGCCTGCAGCGCTCTGATCCCCCAGGCCCTGGTGAGACTGCAGTTGCCCAGCGCCCATCTTTCCCGACAGCCCTTCCCTACCAAATGGGCTTGCTTCCAGGCCCTGAGGCTCTGCCCCCTGGTTGGCCCCCCACTTCCTTCCCACAGCCCCTTCCCTTACTTGGTGCTCTCCCTCCCTGTTCTGCTCCCAGGCATCATGCGAAGGAACTCCCTGAGTGGCAGCAGCACTGGGTCCCAGGAGCAGCGGGCAAGCAAGGGGGTGACATTCGCCGGGGATGTTGGCAGGATGGTGAGGGCGGGCCCAAGCGTGGGAGAGCCCTGGGAAAGGTAACTGGCTGCAGCTTCACCCGCCTCCCACCCTGGAGGTTTCTTGAGCGCATTTTCCTTTCTCTCCAGTGAATTCAGAACAGAAGCCAAATGTCTCCCCACACCAGGATTCACAGAATCTGCTGCTGTTCTGAACCACACAACTCGGCAAGGAAGACCCCAGCACTGAGGGGGTGGAAGGCCAGGGGGCACGGAGAGCACAAGCCTGTTCTAGGGAAGTGTTAAGCAGTGTGAAAATTGTTTGCTGCGTGTAGAAGGCATCAGTTCTGCACCCTGCCTTCCTCATCCCCACCACCTGTCCAGGCAGGGGTCAACCACTAAGAAATTCCACCCAAGCCCAGGCACTTCTAGAGGGCACACTCCCAGCTGTGCGGGAGTCAGCTTTTCCCGAGTTGGATCAATGCGCTGAGCCATTGGGCCCTTTCCATTCTTAGTATCGAGAGGGTCTCTAGACCCGGTGTGTTCTTACATCACACTTAGCAGCAGCCAATAAAAATGTTGGAAACCAGGACTCTGAATTGTATTTGTCATGCTTTAGGAGCTGGGGGCAAGACTTTGTGGGGGTGAGGCAGGGGAGACTTTTGATGGCACCCTTCTCTCACAGTGGGAGAGGGGTGGAAGTTGCATACCCTTCTGGCTGCCTGGCAGCAGTTCATGAGGAAACTACAAGGTCAGTGATCCAATCACTTGACCAAGTCAAGGTCTCTAGCCTCCACCCTAGGCCTGTACAGGCAGGTCCCAGAAGTTAAAAGAATGAAGGCCACTTGTCCTTCATCCATTTGTCTCTCTAGGTGTGGGAAAGGCAGTAGAGACATTATGAAGTAAAGGATGTGTTGTTCTTGGAGATGGAGGATAGAGAGTGACCTACCTCCCCCCCAGAAGTGCTTTAGTCTCAAACAGCCCAGTGACCTGCCATGATCTCTCCCTTAAATCAGGTGGAAAGATCTCGGCAAAAGTAATCCTAGTTAAACATTTACGGCTCCCTGGGGCAATGCCACTGCTTCGGCTACTGCCCGTAAAGCTTTCCAGCATGAAATGCCATGTAGTTTCTGCCCCACCACACTCACTTGGTTCCAGTAAAGATGACTCAGTTTATTATTCTCAACTTGACCGTCATTCCCACTTCAGGCTCCAACACGGCTAAGAGCTGCCACCTCCCACCTCCATTAACAGTCACACCCCTGAGGTGCAAAAGGGGTAAACCAGTCAGTTCTCAGGAAAAGCTAGGGTTGCACACTTGTCAAACAAGGAAACAAACTACAAGAAGGGCTCAGTCACAGTTGAGTGTGAGGTGGGCAATGTTCCTTTCACAATGGTTGAAAGCGTTAAGTCCCCAGCTTCTTGGGCTCAAATATGGTACGAGATTAATAAAGCTAAGGGTGCTGTGAGCATGCTTCATTTTCTACAGGATCACCATCTTGTGAAGGGGTTCCAGCAGGTTGGAGATGTGTGCGCAGTACCCATGTGTATCAGTGGCCTGACGCTCTTGCCTGGGCCCGCGCTCGGGCGGCTTTGGCCTCATCTTCTAGCTCATCTAGGAAGCGCTCCTGGGACACCGAGTAAAAGGTGTAGCCATCTGGGAGGAGGGTTCAGGAAACTACTTCGAATAAGCACATTCCCTTTTCCTAGACTTGCTCCACCCAGTCTCGTTACTCTCCCATTCCCCCGAATTAGCGATTATGGCCCAGCTGTTTCTGAACGCTGAACCCAACTTCGTTATTATTAATACATCATATTAAAAGAGCATTTTAGAAATGGGAAAGCGATCATTACACACTATCTTACTTGATTCACACACAAGGTATGAACCTTATTTCACCCAAACATTAAACGCTTAGCCCAGCGTTGTTCAGTTAGAAGCGGACATGAACTTCACAGCTCAGGCTCTTTCCACCACCCCCACGCTGTTCTCCTACATACTTCTGCTCCCCTTCCCCCGCCCCATATGCTGTCTCCCGGAGCGTACAGCACGATCGGATACAGATAGCAAGCACCAGGGCCCCGATGCTCAGGCCGGTCACGATGTTCCGGGTCCGCCGCTGTGGCAGCGTCTTCTGCCACTGAGCGAGTTGCACCTGCCGCATGAATTGCAGCTGCGCGGGAGTCAGCTTTTCCCGAGTTGGATCGATGCGCTGAGCCATTGGGCCCTTTCCACTCTTAGCATCGAGAGGGTCTCCAGACCCAGATGACGCCATGTTGCCGCTGCGCCTTTGCCCAGTCCGGAGCCACCGGGCTCGCAGGGAATAGTAGTCCTCTGGCGCCGCAGGGGACGCTGGGGATTGCAGTCTTCATTTTCTTACCCTTCCTTGGCCATAGGGGGAGGGACTCTGACAGACGGCTTTGTGATTGGCTGAGCGGTCTGCGACCGTTGAGGCGGGGAAGGGTGCGGAGGGAACTTGGGTTTTCCTCACACTTGAGGCGACGGCAAGTACACTGGAAAGGAACAAAGAATCCAGGGTGTGGCAGAAGACCCTGGAGAGAAGCTAAGAGGGTCACTTTATGGATCCGGTGAACAGCCGAAGTGCCCAAAAAGGCATTTGAAAATGGATGGACCTGTAAGACCAAGATTGGCCTCCCTCAGTGACTTTCAGTTTGGAGCTGTTGCCACAGAGACCATCGAAGATGTTCTGCTGTACTTGGCCCATCAGAATGAGCAAGCGGTGCAGGAGGCTGCGGGCCGGATGGGCAGCTTCAGGGAGACCCGGATCGTGGGTGTGGATGCAGGACCGGGAGTTGGGTTCATGGGGAACTGGGGCATCAGCCTTTGAGGCACCACCTTGAGATTGAATCTACTTTCTTTGTTCAAATCATTTTTGGTAGTGCTTATGGTATACCAGGTGCTGAGGATATAATGAACAAGACACAGTAGCTGACTTACTGTCGATTTCTTCAGCTCGTATAGAGAGTACTAATTCTTGGCACTGCTTGAGTTAGAAAGATGTAATACAGTAATCTTTTCAGTCTTTGGGGGATATTAGGACAAATAAGCAAATGACTAGGTACAAGTCTGATTAAGTGGCATAAGAGATAAAACAAGTTTATGGGGATTAAAAGAAGTGATGGGACAAGGTGGGGGGTAGTAGATGCTGTGGAGTCCCTGCTGAGTCATGGCGACCCCGTATTTGTCAGAGTAGGATTGTGCTCTATAGCATTTTCAATGGCTGATTTTTCAGAACTAGATTGCCAGGTCTTTCTTCTAAGGTGCCTCTGGGTGGACCCGAACTTCTAACCTTTCAGTTAGTAGCCAAGCACATTAACCAATCAATGGATTCCTCCAGGAATCGTGTTTTTGAGGTAGACTTTGAAGGAAGGGAGTACGTTTCGATTGGTGAAGGTGGAAGAGGGGGACAACATTTTAACCAAAAGGCTAATGACAAACCAAAAGGGATGAACCAAAAGGGACTAGCATGAGTAAAGCTTTAAAGATAGGGAAGCCTAGGGTGAGTGTGGGTACAGGAAGGGCAGAGTGGATGGAAGAGTAGTTGAAATAAAGACCAGAAAAGTAGTTTGAGGACATTGCATGTGGGACTTTGAATTCCAAGGTAAGGGATTTGGACCTGGTTTAGTAGGGAAACCAAGAAGGCCTTGAAGGTTTTTGAACAAGAGTGATGTGAATGTAACCTTTGCTTAAGAAAAATTATTTTGCCAGCGATATAAAACATGGATTAAACTAGAGATAGAAAGGAAGTAGGCAGACCACTGGTGTCTGTGTCAATAATCCAGGTGAAAGGGCAGAGAGAATGACAAGAGAAGATAGATGAAAAACCTTTCCAAGTTAAAATCTACTGTATAAACTGTAAGTTTGTACAGTTTTACAGGGGATGAATTTAAATGAAGAAGGTGAATATGACTGTGCCAAAGGGTTGAGCCAACATTGGGAGTAAAGGGTGTCATTAACAGAAACACAACACACACACACACATTAAAAATAATAAAACATAAAGAAACTTGATTGTTGTTTGGAAAGAGAACAGTTTTGGTTTTGGAACTACCGACTTGAAGGTGCTGGCAGAACATCTAGTGGAAGGTTTCTAGCAGGCTGTTTAAAAAGCAGATCAGAAGAGAGGACAGAAGTAGAAGTTTGTGAGCATGGCCATGATGACTACTGAAACTGTAGCTGAGGATGAGTTCCTAGAGGGAGAAGAGAGAAGCAGGTTAAGAACAGTGCCTTGGGAAACATCTGTGTTCAAGGAATGGGAGTAGGAAGGAATAATGGTGAAGGAGATAAAAGGAGAAGTTGGAGAGATAGGCACAGAAGCAAGAAACCTGTGGAAGAAGAGAGTTTCAGGGATGATGGTCAGCCATTTCAGATGCTTCAAGGATATTAACAGGAGTGAAGATTGCCAAAAAGCCTATACTATTTAACAATTTAGGAGCTCTGGTAGCATAGTGCCTAAGGCACTTGACTGCTAACCAGAAGGCTGGCAGTTCAAACCCACCAGCCACTCCTCGGAAGGAAGGCTGGGCAATCTACTTCCGTAGTGATACTGCCTTGGCAACCCAAGGAGGGGTTGCTATGAGTCGGGGCCGACTCAATGGCACATAACAACAACAACATTTAACAATTTGGACATATTTCCTGACCTTTGAGATAATTTCAGGATATTGGGAAAGAGAGAAGCCAAAGTATTGAAAATTAGGGAGTGAAGGATGAAGTAGAAGCAGCTAGGCTTTCAAGAAATTTAACAGTGAAGGGAAGGGGAGAGATGGAGCCCAAGCTGAAGAAGGTAGAGCAGAGGGTTTTTTAGTTAATAGTAGATCTGAGTAAGTTTGTAAGCAGAGGAGGTGGGGCTCCTAACAAGGACAGAGTGTAACCCTCACCAGTTCCACCTAACCCAAGCTCAATTTTCCTGGCAAATTAAAGTGGAAAGTAGAAACAGCCCAGATAATTCAAACCAAAACCAAACAAACTACAAGTGCACATAAAGAACAAAAAGAAATAAAGCTTGAACTCCAGCAAATAAAAAGATTGGCTAATAGCATAATTATGTCATGCAGGGTATTTTGCTGAATTGCTCCAACTAATTCCCTTCTGCACTGGGCATTGCTAGCAGAGTTGTGAACCGTGTCACAATCAGATTTTGTACATATATGTATTTGTAATGTGTGTTGGGTAGATTGTTAAACTGTTTGGTGCTAGTTTGATTTTATAGCTTTTTTTTCCCCCTACAGTTAGATTTTCTCTGAAGATACAGGTAATATGACTACACATATTTCTCATTGATCCACTGATCAATGCTCAAAGTTCTAGGTCTGTAGGAGCTTTCTTTGTTGAGAACTGATGTTTATTCTTTCTGGCCTCTAATGATATTGAAAGCTAAATAGAATTCTATCTGGGCTATTCTTTCAAAGAGAACAGAGGTAGCCTAAAATGTTGCCAAGATATCTTGCCCTTCCTGCTTTTTCAATAATTTTCCCTCCCCCCCAAAAAAAAACTGGGCTATATTCCCTGATTTCAGGGATGTTTCTTCAAAACAAGCCACTTCACAGTAATAAACTTGCTCCTGGGGAGAGGCTCAGCCACCAGAAATTTACCCAGCAAACTGGCAGTGGATAAGGTGAATCGTGTTTGTAAAGCAATGGGAGTTCTCCAGAGGGTGGTTACTAAACAAACAGTGTCATAAGGAATATTGAAGCTCCAGGAGGGACCTTTCTGTTCCTGCCAACATTCCACAGAAAACAGAATACAGAGGTTAGGTTTTTCATCCATCCAAGAATCTCCCTTGGACCTGGGGGCTCCCAGCATGGTGTAGAGGCCAACTTGACCAGCTGAGTGTGTTTGCATGTAACTGGCCAAGTCTTTTATCAGCTGAGACCCATGGGGAGGCCCAAGGGTCACTGAGGGGTCTTGGTGAGCCCTTGTCTTTGGCACTCAGTCAGCCTCCTTTTTTGTCTCTCTGATCTGCTTATTGGCAGCAAAGGGGACTAAACTCAGCTTAGGTTGTTTCAGTGTCATCTTTCTCACCTCCTGACCCTCTTCCCTTGGCCTCATCATGGCTTTTTCACAATGCCAAGAGTTCATAGAGTGGTTTTGGTTGCAGCTTGTGAATTAGACTCTTCTTTCCTGTTTGGCAGAGTTTGTTTTTCTCCTGTCTGAACAATGGTGTCTGGAGAAATCTGTGAGCTACCAGGCTGTAGAAATCCTAGAAAGGTAAAGCTCTGAGCATAAAGCCTTTGCAAGTGGTACCTCTCAGAAAGGCTAATGTACCCAAATCATTAGGAAAGTACTAGTTGCCTCTTAACCAGAGACCTGGTTTTGCATCCTCCTTTTACTTGCAAATTAAATTTCTTCACCAGAGGTGGGTATTAGAGGATAAAATATAGCAGAATTTGAAGCACAAGATCCCTTTAGTTTGTGTGAGTGTGGACTCTTTACTCTCCCCTTCTCTTCCTCATAGGTTTATGGTTAAGCAGGCAGAGAACATCTGCAGGCAAGCCACCTTGCAGCTGAGAGAAAATGAAAATACAGAGTCTCGGAATTGGAGAGCTCTGAAAGAGCAGCTTTTCAACAAGTTTACCCTGCGTCTTGTGTCATGTGTTCAGCTGGCCAGCAAACTTTCCTTCCACTACAAAGTAAGGAGCTGGGGTCAATCATGGGCACCTAGTGTTAGGAAGAAAACAGCCCATCTGAAGGTGGCTGTGAGAAATCTACTCCTAGGTTAGGCTAGGTGATTTTATTCATGTGGGAATTCCAGAGTGCAATTTACACTTCCTAAGCATACCTCCTGTGCACGTACATATACACACACACACACACACACACAGTCGTAGCCACACAGAGGCACTTATTAAATAGCCTGAAGTTCTATTCCCAAAGTATAATTGCTGGACAGATGCCATCATTCATACAGGTCACCTTTCCTTGCCTTAGACTCAAGGACAGTTTACGTAAGGTACCTGCATTGCCAACATACTTATCAGCATTAAAGGCTAACGATTACATTTATGAAGGATAAAATGTCTCCACGTTACTACCTAACACTGTACAGTAAATTCAACAGATGTTTACTGAGTGTCTTCTATAGTCAGGTGTTGTACTAGATGCCAGGGCTACAAACAGTAAAAGTACTGCTGGTAAGTTAATTATCTAGTGGGAGAAGACACACAGGTGAAGAGTGTACATGCAGAGGGCTATACATGGGCAGTACCTCATCAGCCTGGGAGAATCAAGGAAAGGTTTTTAGAGAAAATGATT